ATCCAGCTTTGAGCATGTTGTTATAGCAACAGAAAAGGGGCAGTAACCTCCTCAATATCCATCATTCCATTCTCACATATTAGCAGAGTTTTCATGGGATTTACTGTGTTGTAGCGAAGGTTTGAACGGTATCTGCATGGACGGGGCTCGCTGGCTCTATTCTCTCTCCCATGTGTTGTCATCTGTACACGTTGTTGTCACTCCTCATGCAACAGCTTAGCAAGGAGAGCCCAAAGACAGCTGTACTGCGTGTTTGTGGGAACAACAGCAAAAATCCTGTTAACTTCAAGTCAGAGCCTAGTTTAAGCAGCGTTAGAAGGTGTGTCTCAGGTGTGACCCTCGGAGGATCCCCGAGCAGACTGTGGTCAGGAACTGCTGCCACTGGCTGCGTGTCCTAAACACCCTGGTTCTCCTGGACCCCATCATTTTTCAGATCATTCTGCTTCTACCTGATTTTGAACTCAGCTCTCTCTCCTCTGGTCCCCTGTGCACGGTGTTTATGCTGCTCTTCCTGTCTTAGACATCACTCCCGACTGAGAACACTCCCCGTGTGAGATGCTCTTCCAGTCACGGAGGTGTAAGGAGAAGATGTTGCTGTTGCTGGGTTCCATTCAGGCCCTGTGGGTCCTTGGTCACCACTGCCCGAGCTCCTTTCCTGGCTCTGTTTCTAGCTTTCCTTTTTCTTTCTGCTTCTTGACTTTGGTAGAGGGAGGACGTGATTTGTCATTAGCTGCCGTCCAAGGAGATCACTCCTTTCTTCAGAGGTGAGAACCCTGGGGGCTGCTCACATCACTAACTCTCCTGTGCCAGCCACACTGACTAGAAGCTCTCAGCTGTTCTAGGTGGTTCCAACATGTTGAAAAACTTTGCACCAAAGACCACCAGGTCAGGTTAGGTGGTGCCAGTGTGCACTGTTAGGTCTGTACACTCAGGCGCCTTCACCCTTAATGTAACCAGTGGCTAATACACCCAACAGAGTCCTATAAAAAGTGAAGGCACATGCGTATTGTGTAGTGACGCTTCTTAATCTTTCTCTAACGTTGTTAGTAACTCGATCTGTCTTTCGAAGGAATCTCCACTTCTTTCCTCCCTCCCTCCTGAGTTTTTTCTTTCACAGTCACTAAACCTGTCCCTAATCAGCCCCAAGCTAACACTTCAGAGTCCACCTTCATGCCACACGCCATGATGCCCCACCCCCATCTCTTTCTCGTTATTTCTTCATCCAAGACACAGGAATTTAGAGGAACTTGGTATGTGTGCCTATTCTGGGGAGGATCAGGCATGGGGGATGGTGAAGAGCCATGTGGGGAGGCACGAAGGTGTGGGATGGGCTAGCTAGAAGTCACAAAAAGCCAAAAGGCATTTCAATGTACAGAAAGAATACACTGTTACTGTTCATTATGGTCCTGCTTTAAGGGCTTAGATCAGAAAAATCAGGATTTCTTTTTACAACTATAAATAAAACCGTACTTAACTCATCACAAAACGAGCAGGTGAAGCTGTGATTCTGTCTCTCAGGGGAAGGACCCTTGAGGGTTAAGCAGACACACACAGATGAAGCAGTGTCAGGAAGGGCTTTTGGGAATTCAGGTGGGAAGCTTCTCTTTAAGAGTCAATCTTTCTCCGTCCTCCGAGAGATAAGAAGAGTTTACTGGCGTGTGCAGTGGCATCCTGATTATGAGAACCCCTTTGACAAGACTCTGAAAGGGACCGATGGCTCAGGAGTTCGTCAAACAATGCAGAGAATGTAAGAGACTCAGCAGATGAAAAGGAGGCTTTGGGTAAGGAGGGGGGAACCCACAAAATTTGTTTTTTCCCCAAGTCCTACTAAAATGAAGCAAACACATATTTTTAACCTGCAAAGTTAAACCTACAAAGGCAGGGACTGTGGGAGTCAAGTAGCCACTTGCAATAGTTAGTATTGACTGTGAACTTGACAGGATCTGGACTCACCTAGGAGGCAAGCTTCTGGGCATGTCTGTGAGGGGCTTTCTAGAGGGAAGACCCACCCCAAGTGGGGATGGCACCATATCATGGGTGGGTCCTGGACTGAATAAGAAGTGAGTTCAGGGGCCCAAGGAAAGCAGCTCACAGGACTGAGAAGATGGGTAGATCCAAAGAGGAAGACTTTTTTTGGGGGGGAAATAGTTTAAAAGAGGTTTATTTTAAAATAAAGTTTACATCTTTATTTTACAGATGAAATCCCACCCCCACCCCTTCTAAAGAAGGAAAGAGTGGAGAAAGAAGAAAACTTCAGAAGTTTGTGATATCAGGATTCCTAACTCTAGGGGGCAAAAATGTTGAGCAGGAAGGAAAAATGATCCCAGTCAGACTCCAAGATGGATGTGACTTACGAAGTCATAAGAAGACTATTATAAAGACACGTGGAGACTATGGAGGCTGCCAAAATCACGGCATATTGGGCGGTTGGGGAGTGAAAAGTGTGTGTGTGTGTGTGTGTGTGTGTGTGTGTGTGTGTGTGTGTGTGAGAGAGAGAGAGAGAGAGAGAGAGAGAGAGAGAGAGAGAGAGAGAGAGAGGTGTAAAAGTCAATAGACAATGCCTAAAACTGAAAAATCAAATAAAGCACATTTAAAGATACTGAGTCAGACACCGAAGGCCTTGGGAGAGAGCCCCTGCCAAGAGAATTGGAAGTGGATGTCTTTTAGAATAGAAAACTGGGTGGGCACCAACACAACTAGATTTTATTTTGGTTTGGCTTTGGTAATGCATAGAACCAAATGAATTTTTGTATTGCACACATACCTTTCTCTTCTTATCAGTGTTTGATATATATATTTGCATGTTTATACAGTTTTAGAGCTACATAAGCTCACAGTGGGTGCTAACTATTTGTTGAAAACAGGTTGCTTCAAGAAATGCTGGAGGAACATGTTTATGAACTTGCTAACAAGTCCCTGGAGAACAATCCACATTTACTGGTTCCTTAACAGCATGAGAGTCTGTGGTCTCTGTGCTATGGAGACCATGGTACAGAGTGTCTGGCCGCATGTCTACCATGATGAGTGACAGTCTTTCAGGACAACTGTGGTGTGCTCATTAACTTCTGCTCTGTAACTGTCTGGACCCAAACAAGTCTAATTCTTTCCAATAAATTCTAAGTTCCTTAAGGACCAGGTCTGTTTTGAAATAGCCTTTGCATTTCAGGGCTTAACACTCAGTACAGCTTACCTTGAATGAACGCAGAGAACCAGCCATGCCTTTAGATTTGCAGAGCTGAGGTCATCTGCTGTCCTCAGGCTTGAGGCCTCCAGTCTGTCTTACTGTACCCTAGTGTCACAGTCACACCAGGGAACCCACATACGTTCATTTTGACTTGACTGAGATGTGGGCTCTAGGCAGGCTGCCCCTCACCCATTTCCAGGGTAGAAAGAATTCAGGAATTGGAGCCAGATGTATTTCCATTCAAACCCTGCCTCCCTCCCTGACCAGTATTCTATCCTGGGGGTAAATCCATGTTCCCTTCTCTCCATCTCTCTGAGGTTCAGTAGGGCAGAGTGTGCTGGGGACGCAGCAATGGTCATTCTTCACCCTTTAGATGCCCCTCAACTTACAGTGGAGTTGGCTATGGCTGGACAGGGCCATTATATACTGAAAATACCATAGGTTGAAAATGCACCGGATATGCCTACCCGCTGAGCATCACCAGCTCAGCCACCTAGTGTTTTGTGGTGTGGTGATGGTCGACCCTCACCATTGCACGGCTAACTGAGAGTGTGAGCTCACTAGCATTGTCAGAGTGAATCCACAGATCACTAGTCTGCAAAAAAGATCCAGATTAGAAATCTGAGGATGGTTCCTACCAAATGTCTACAGCTTCACACAGGCATACAGGTGGTTATAAGCTGAGCGATCCTAAGTTCAGAACCAACTATGTGTGGAATTTCTAAACTGTAGCTGAACATATGCTGGCCAGGTGGAGACCACATTTCTGAGCCTTTCTTACAACTAACTGAGACTGAGTTCTGGCCAATGTTAGTGAAAACAGTCGAGGGCTGACATCTCTAGGCAGAGTCCTAGAAGGGAAGTCTTTCCTGCCCTCCCTTCAGTAAGAGCATTGCCATGCTGGAAGGCAAACAGTCACAATGAGGGGAGCTGAAGCAATCACTTTGGGTCTAGAGATGAAACCACCCAGTCTGACATAGAGATGAGCTTTCATGTTATTCAAGGCTCTGCAGTGTGTGTGTGTGTGTTTCAGGAGCTTCAGCTATACTGTAAATATTATATTTTCTTGTTGAGAATAAGGACTACAGTAAGGGGGCAGGGCTCAAAATACAGTCACCATTGTTCACACTTCTTTGCTTCCCTTTACCTGATGTCAGAGTCACAGCCTGAGCAGGTCACTGGAAGTGAGACATCTAGAGTTGTGACTAGAGTCAAAAAGTCACAACCAAGACTGGGCTCTAAAGTACCGCTGGCTGCCCCCAGCCAGTGGCCGGGTGGCTAGTGAAATCTTCATGGTGCTGATGCCAGATGCGAGGTGGGACAAACAGTTGTGAGAAGGAATTTGGTCCATTTTCTACCACAGTGAATGTTTTCTAAACCCCATTCCTTGTCTAAAATATCCCATTCTTGCTGTTCTGTGGAAACATGTGTATTGTGTAGCTGTGTTTAAATGCTGAGAAAACATGATAAATCTTAAGAACAGGAGCAGAGAAACACTCATTACAGCAAGAAAGGAGCAAGCTGGCCAGGAAGTGTGTGGTGGACATGTAAGCGCTGAGGAGGCCAGCTTGGGTCTGTACCTATGATGCCCACAGCATCACTGAAAGTGCTGTCTTCAAGGGCAGAGCCAAGGTCTCAGCATCAGGAAGACTCATGCAAATAGATTCTTCAGAAGTTATTTGAAATTTCCCTCAGTCCACTTACCAAAAGTGATCAGCAGATCCTTCTTGTAACAATTCATTTCAAAACTCATACTCCATTAAGGAGTTTCGGACATAAAGATCAACTAAGTAAATATTAGCTTTAAACCACTTACCCTGGGGTAGTATGGGATTGGTTCTCCATGCCAAGAAATGTCTACATCTGGCTTGTTCTTCTTGAGTTTTAATCTGTGAGGGAAATTATTTGGATTTATAAAATGCTTACATATATTAATATAAGATGATTTTCTTGCTGTTGGTAAGTCATTATATAGTATGGGGTTTTCTGTGTATGGAGACTCTTGCTTCTACAAGCACAGAAGTGGGTGGGCCTTCATTGGCTTGAAGTCCCCACACAGATAGGAATACTGGCTCAGCCCTTGGTTGAAATATGAGGTACTGGCTGAAACCAGCATGCATTCATCTTTGACTAAGTGGCAGCTCAGTGTCAGTTGCCTTGTGAAGTGGTCAATTCATAATCCCTGCTTAGAGGAATGCTGTCTAGAAGCCCTCAAAATTCCCGTCTCAATGGAGTTCCTACACTTTGCTTTTGAGAGCACATATTCTTTCATTGGCCTTTCTTGACTTTTTAAAAGAGCGAATAAAGCAGGAAATTTAGGACAGAAAGTCTAAGAACAGGGGATGGAGAGATGGCCCAGCAGTTGGAATGCATAGTGCTTAGAGTGCAGAGGACCCCAGCACTGGTCGGGTGGCTCAAAACCACCTATAGCTCTAACCCTAGGGCACACACACACACACACACACACACACACACACACACACACACACAGATTGCCCCAGCTGTGGACTAATCTGCAAGGTAAATTAACAAAGTGTTAAAATGAATTTAAACCCTCCTAAGAACTATATGAATCAATTAAATGCCTGAGAAGGGAGGAGGAGGGCGGAGAGAGAGAGGAGAAGAGAAAAAAGAGAAGGAAGAGGAGAGAGAGGAGGAAGGAAGGGGGGAGAGAGAGAGAGAGAGAGAGAGAGAGAGAGAGAGAGAGAGAGAGAGAGAGAGAGAGAGAGAGAGAAAGAAAGAGGGGGAGGGGAAGAGGAGGAGGAAGAAGGGAAGAGAGGGAGAGGGAGGGAAGGAGGGAGAAAATCTCCATTCACACCGTTTTCACACCACTGGAACTGCAGCAGTGGGGCTGACATGGGAGGCGATAGGAGGCAAAATCAGATCAGAAAGTACAGACAAATAAAAGAGGGAAACTGAGGCACATGCCATGGTTCTGATGGAAGCTTGTCTCCTGAGTTTGCCCAGCACGTGTCCCTGCCGTCCCCGCGCCAGCTGCGGCCGAGGGGAGCGTCCCGGGTGCCGGGTCCCCGGTCCCCGGAGCCAGCCGGTTACCTGCGCTGCTGTCTGGAGAGGTCTGAGCTGTCCTGTCCAGCCCGCTGCGTCCGCCCAGCGCCTTTGGCCTCTCGTGCCCCTCGGGTTGCCATGGAGACGCGACCCGACTCTCACCCATCGGTTTCTCTACAGCGGGAACTCCCCAGCACCAGCGCGGGAAGTCCGCAGTCCAATGTCTCCCGGACCCGCCTCCTGACACCCGCCTATCCCGGCTGCTGCAGCCCCCAGGCACCCGGCACCAGGAGGCGCAGAGGAGCGCGGGAGGACGCTGCCCGCCCAACCAGAAAGCCCGCGGGCCCGGGAACACAGCACAGACTGGAGCTCCTAACCCTGCACCTTGACCCGCTCCCAGGCTAGACCAGGCGCGGGAAAGAAAGAACTCCTGGCAAAGACCCTTTCAATTCACCGTAGTGACTTCCAGCTGGGAATCTGCGAGGTTCACTCCACTGTCACTGGGTTCGAAGCATTTGAACCTCTCTCTTTACACAGTGCGTCGCGTCCTTGGAAAACTTCTAGTTAGGTGGATCAGAATGTATTGGGGACAAGGGAGTAAGTAGCTAGCTTCTAACGAGGGGAACCAACCTGGGCCCACGGTAACTGATTCCAAATTCTTTCCCTTTTCAGCCACATTCCAACAATAATTGATGACAGAATCTCAGTCTGACCCTGTTGATTTCACCGAGGAAGTGACGGTATGTACCGGGTATATATATATGACAGAACACACACACACACACACACACACACACACACACACACACACACACGCATACATTGATACACGTACTGTTATACAAAAAACACACCTACATACACGGGTGTGACAGCAAGTAAACTTTCTAAGCACTTGAATTGGGGAATGTTGCTGAACTTACTTTAGAAACATAATTGTTTCTCAACACGTCTAGTAGATAGATTGCTAGGTCTTAAAATCTTGCGTTTGCATTTTCCTTTTGATATTTCATGTCACTTTGCTACTTTGACATGACTGTCAATTTTAATCCAACCCACAGTCCTCCATCCAGGTCTGTCTGATTCTTAGATGACTTGTATGGAGTAACTCAGGATGCTAGCTCTGATTAGTGTTACACTGTTCTGACAGGGACTGAGTGAAGTATGGTTATTTCATCTTTCCCTGAAACATCTCTATTCTGAGAATGCTAATCATAGCCTTTATTCTTGCCCATGTTGAAATTTTTCCCCACAAGAAACACAATCACCATTATCGCATTATTTATTTATTTTTATTGTTTTGAGACAGGGTTTCTCTGCGTAGCCCTGATTGTCCTGGAACCAGCTTCTGTAGACCAGACTGGCCTCAAAGTCAGAGATCTGCTTGCCTCTGCCTCCTGAGTGCTGAGATTGAAGGAATGTGCCACCATGCCCTGCTATTTATTTATTTTTGTTGTTGGCGTCAGGGAAGGTGACACGTGAATGGCTCACTGGTGGAACTCTGCTCTTCCCTTCTACCTTTTGGTTCCTGGGTATCAAACTGATATCCTCAGGCTTCGGTAGCAGGTGCCTTCACCAGCTGAGCCGACAGATGAAAGTGAGCAGAAAGAGCAGAAAGGAAAGAGATAGGAACCGAGGACATCTTGACTTCAGATTCGGTGCTCTTCAAAATCTTCCCAGAAATTAGGGTTATGGTTTTGAATACCCAGAAGTCCATTATATGTAGGTGTAGGAGTCTAGGTCTTGTAGAGGTGATGGTTGATTTCCTATTTTCAGAAGAATGGATGTGGGAAGGATTTTCAAAACCTGAGAGGACATACACTCTAATGGACTTTAGGAAGACTAGACCTGCCGTGTCCGTGTCCCGTCCCCCCCCCCCGTCCCCCCCCCCCCCCCGCCATTCAATTCAACAATAGGAACAAAGTCTTTCTTTTCAGAGTGGTTGTTAAGACCCAAATGAAATGAAGACTCAGCTCCACTCCTTAACAGGAAACACCTGCAAAGGCTTAAGTTTGCCTTAAGATGCACTGGTTACTAGATCTTTTAGGATGATGTTTTGAAAGATATGTGTTTAGGAAGGCTCCAGGTTCAAAGAAGAGTACAAGTGGGGGCATGTGGTCCTAACAGGAGCTGCTGAGAGGTACTTCAAGAACTTAGTCCTGAAAGAGTATCATATGACAAAGTGAGTCAGGACAGGTCCCACCCTGTAGCTAGAGAGCTACTGGCAATTGATGACTTGCTGGGTGAGTCAGTTTTCTTCAGGGATACAGGACATGAGACGCTTCTCATGGTCCCGCAGATGGTCCTACACCCATACACAGACAGCACTAAGTAGATTCAGTGAGTTTTAAAACACAGAACATGTGCATTTGAAAGGCGAGAGTGGTGAGGGGGGTAGAGAAGGAACTGGAAATTACCAAAGGTCAGTGTGGGATAGCATGGCATGGACAAGGACACTATGCCATCCAGTCCTCCATAATCCATTCTCCATGAGCCATCTGGCCCCTCATTTGGGGTTGTCATTGGATCATGTTCCCACCCCTGACAGTTTCTAAAAGTGAGGCCAGTATGCACTGCTCACCCTGGATCAGACTTGAAGGGGATCAGGGCTGTACTCTTGAACTTTACATCCTCTTACCTCCAACTGCGATTACAGGTACGCACTGCTATCTAGTTGTTGGTTTTTTTTTTTTTTAAAAATCATTTACTTGAAGCGTTAGTCTAATTAATCTTTATCAATAAAAAATTGGGAGTCATTTAGTAAGGTGGCAGGATACAAGATTAAACTAAAAAAAATCAGTAGCTCTCCTATATACAAATGAAAAAGGGGCTGAGAAAGAAATCAGAGAAACATCACCCTTCACAATAGCCACAAATAATATAAAATACCTTGGGGTAACTCTAACTAAGCAAGTGAAAGACCTGTATGATAAGAACTTTAAGTCTCTGAAGAAAGAAATTGAAGAAGATATCAGAAAATGGAAAGATCTCCCATGCTCATGGATAGGTAGAATCAACATAGTAAAAATGGCAATCTTACCAAAAGCAATCTACAGATTCAATGCAATACTCATCAAAATACCAACACAATTCTTCACAGACTTGGAAAGAACAATACTTACCTTTATATGGAAAAACAAAAAACCTAGGATAGCTAAAAGAATCCTGTGTATTAAAGCAACCTCTGGAGGCATCGTGATCCCTGATCTCAAGCTCTACTATAGAGCTATGGTAATAAAAACAGCTTGATACTGGCATAAAAACCAACATGTGGACCAATGGAATCAAATTGAAGACCCGGACATTAATCCACACGCCTATGAACATATGATTTTCGACAAAGAAGCCAAAACTGTACCATGGAGAAAAAAAAAGAAAGCATCTTCAACAAATGGTGCTGGCATAACTGGATGTCAGCATGCAGAAGATTGCAAATAGATCCATATCTGTCACCGTGCACAAAACTCAAGTCCAAGTGGATCAAAGACCTCAACATAAATTCAGTTACACTGAACTTGATAGAAGAGAAAGTAGGAAGTAGTCTGGAACGAATTGGCACAGGAGACCACTTCCTAAATATAACACTAGTAGCACAGACTGAGATAAACAATTAATAAAGGGGACCTCTTGAAACTGAGAAGCTTTTGTAGAGCAAAGGACACGGTCAATAAGACCAAAGACAGCCTACAGAATGGGAAAAGATCTTTACCAACCCCACATCTGACAGAGGGCTGATATCCAAAATTTAAATATAAAGAACTCAAAAAGCTAGACATCAAAATACAGAACAATCCAATTAAAAAGTGGGCTACCGAACTTAACAGAGAATTCTCAACAGAAGAAGCTCAAATGGCTGAAAGACATTTAAGGAATTGCTCAACATCCTTAGTCATCAGGGAAATACAAATCAAAATAACTCTGAGATACCATCTTACACCTGTCAGAATGGCTAAGATCAAAAACACTGAAGACAGCTTATGTTGGAGAGGATGTGGAGCAAGGGGAACACTCCTACACTGTTGATGGGAATGCAAATTTGTACAGCCACTCTGGAAATCAGCAAGAACCTGGAAACAATCTAGATGCCCCTCAACTGAAGAATGGATAAAGAAAATATGGCACATATACACAATGGAGTACTACTCAGCAGTAAAAAACAATGATATTATGAATTTGCAGGCAAATGGATGGATCTAGAAAATATCATCTTGAGTGAGGTAACCCAGACTCAGAAGGACAAACATAGTATGTACTCACTCATAAGTGGATACTAAATGGGAGGGAAGGGATGGCCAGACTGCAACCCACAACTCCAGAGAGGCTAGCTAACAGGAAAAGACCCTAGGAGGGACACATGGATGATCCTGTGAAGGAGAAGTGGATGAGATCTATATGAGTGAACTGGGTGGGGTGGTGGTGGCAGAGGGTGAGGAGTGGGGGAAGAGAACATAGGGAAATGGGAGGCTCAAGCTGGAACAGGGACAGAGTGGGAGGACAGGGAGGAAAATACCATGATAGATGAGGACATCATGGGAATAGGAAGAAGCAGGGTGCTGGGGAGGCTCTCAGGAATCCACAAGGTTGACCCCACCTTGGTCTGCTGGCAGTGGTCCAGAGGGTGCCTGGACCAGTCTACTCTGGTGACCAGTCTAGCAAATAACCTAGCTGTCATCATAGAGCCTTTGTCCAGTGACAGATGGAGGCAGATACAGAGATCCATGGCCAGGCACCAGGCTGAGCCCCGGGAATCCAATTGATGAGAGAGAGGAGAGATACTGCAGGCGAGGGACGTCGAGATCATGATGGGAGGACGTGCAGAGATGACCGGCCACACTATTGGAGGCCCATGAACTGTGGACTGGTGGCTGTGGAGCCCCCATGGGACTGGACTAGGCCCTCTGGATATGGAAGATGGTTGTTTGGCTCAAACTGTTTGGGGGGCACCAAGGCAGGGGGATCGGGATCTGTCCCTGGTGAATGGGCAGGCTTCTGGAATCCGGTGCCTGTGGTGTGACACCTTGCACAGCCTTGGTGCAGTGGGAAGGGGTTTGGATCTGCCTAGACTGAGTGTGCTGTGGGCTCTGCTGACTCCCCATGAGAGACCTTGATTTGGGGGATTTAGGGTTTCGGGGTGGCTTGGGAAAAAGGGCTGGGGGTGGGAGGAGGGAGGAATGGGGGTCTGTGGATAGCATGTGGAGTGAGTAGAAATTCCTTAATAAAGAAAAATGAAAATAAAAG